AGTGACAGTCATGCATTCACAAAGTTAGCCAATATTTCCGGAGCTTTTAAACTCTCTGCTCTGGATTCTGTTTCTCACCATCTTTGAATGTAGGCATTTGTTTAGAAGGGCCGCCACGTGCATACGTTCGTTGGTGTGCCTAAGAGACGCTGCCACAAAAAAAAATAAGGAACATTTGGTAACCAACAGAGCAACGTTCAAAGCAGGAACACAGAGCGCCTTCACGCCAGCAGAAGGCAACACACTCCTACCTTTATAAACTTATATTCGCCCCGGCCCCATAGGTCAGAAACACAAACACACCTCAGTAAACGCAATGCATTTTCATGTCTGAATCTACACAATCTTAAAGCATAGACATAACCATAACTCCTAATCTCTTTGTTTGCACTAAAACCATCACACCACCATAGGTACACACAAACACACACATGTATTCATGACCTCTGTCATCCCCAACCCTGCAACCCGGGGAAAGAACCCCCTCCATCCCCCTGCACAAAGCTTCAGGATCACAGGAGGCAATTGTGCTTCAGAGCTGCAAGCAATAAGGTTCAATTACCCAATTCTCAGAAACAAATTAGACAAAGGCGCTCCTGATGTCTGTGATTATGCCTGTGGAGGGACTCCAAACAACAGGACGTAAAAAGGAAACTGGAAAAAGGGAGGGTTTTGTTCATTAAATGGTAACCTTTGACCTGCACACACGCTGGAACCACAGCCGCAGCTTTGCTGAACTTCTTTCTGACAGTTTCTTACAATGGGAGTTTCCTTACTTCAGGGGTCAGGGTTTCCTTTTTTAAAGATAAACAAGTTTGGCATTTGAGAATTAAACCTAAAGACAGATGAATAAGGCTGATCTACGGACAGATTTGCTTTAAAGTATCTGATTAGGTTTAAATAATGGCCTTGCTTTAAACATAGAGAGCTGAAATTGCTCAGAGATGTTTATTTTTACTCTTCAACAAAAAACACATCTGACAAAACATGAACTAACGTTAGTGTTAGCACTTTAACAAGGTTTTCTGCAGCAAAAACATCAAAAGACAACAATCCATCCATCCCTTGAGTTCAGGTCACCTAGGTTACAGGTCATGGATGCTCTCTGTCCAACATGCCAGCAATTTATCCAACCTACTGAAAGGCCTTATTCTCCCCCCTAATGCAAACAAATAATACAAAGTAAGTAAAAAAATAAAATAAATGAATAATAACTGATTTAGAGCCATAGTTCAATTTCTGTCTAAAACCAAAATGTCCGTTGGAATGGCCCAGACTGAGTCCTCAGAGGGAATCTGTAGAGGAAGACAACATCTAGGGTTATGGCAAAGAGCCTTCCAGCCTCATAGACTTGAAGTTTATCACCAAAATTATTTTCTCAAAATTAATAGAAACTTTCTGCTTATCTGCAATTACAGGACAGGGTTAATTGCTGTAATGGCAAATAAAATTATTCTCCATACATTAGTAAAAGGAGTATTTCTTATTTTTAATTAAAATGTATTTCATTTTCTGTTCTGATCAGAAACAGATATTTGAAATTAAAATCTTCCAGGGTTGTGATTAATTTAGTGAGTGAGGTTCTAAAGTGTGCAGAAAGTGATAGGAACATACAGCTATGGAAGAATAGTGAGAATAATTTTATTTACTCTTTTAATCACAAAATTCAACAGAAAAGCATGAGTCTGAACGTCAGAAGAGAGGTTCAGTTGTTTAACTGTTTATCAAATCCAAGGACCCTATAACGCTCACATACGCTAGTTATCTACAAGACCACTATAGAAACACTAAACAGCTCTGACTGAGGTGGACACTGAGCTCAGACCAGCGGGGAGCAGCCAACCTTTTTACGCGTTGAGAACCGTCGTTTCTGACTTGGACTTACACTGACCACATTTCATTCAGCAGAATCCCGTAATCCAAAAAAAACAACAACCAAAAAAACAGACAACATCTCTCCGAGGTTACCAAGACCCACTGTTGATTTGACTTTGACAGCAAAAGGCATGCATGGGAATAGTAATGGCGGTGCTCCTAAAGTCACTTTTGCAAACCAGATTTGTGGATTGTTTGTCTGGGAATTTGTAAAGTTTAGAGAGCAAATAAATCATTGGGATTTCAGTGAGAAATGTCTTGCTTTTATTTAATAGCACAACACAAGGAGTAACAACAGAGAACGTATTGCCCTCCACTTCTGAAATCTGGGAAAGATTAAAAACCGTAGCTTTTTTCCTTAAACTTTTATTTTCACTGACCTCAGAACACCTTCTCTATTTTAGCTAGCAGAACTAAATTCCACATGGTTGCCATCTCCAGTACGAAAGCTTGACATCAAAAACTGCCACATGATGATCCTTTCCCAATTTATTCCTTAACTCATCCATAAAACCTCAATAAAAGCCTCTGTATCCGATGTTTTTAGATTTTTTTCCCCACCTCGCCGCCCCTGTGGTGCAGCAGCAAGCAAACACAAACAAAAATGCACACGTTTGCTTCATTTCACCTCACAACTAAACACTCACAAGGAGACACGTTCATGTGTTCATGGCAGACCCTGACTGCTGTTCCTGTGTTCATTTAGCAGGACACACTGCGGTCTCTGTGTACCGCTAAATAAAAAGCTGTGTGTGCTGCATGGACTTGGCTGAGGTAGAGGGAGCGGTTAGAGAACAGCGTATTAGTAAAAAAAAAAAAAAAGACTCTTAGTCTGCTTCCAAAACCAGAGAGGAAGGTAAAATGTTAGTGCAGTACCTGGAAGGGGAAAATGCTGTTGATTGAATGTGAGGCCTTTGAAAACTCTCCTCCTAGGAGCAATTGGTGCAGGAAGAGCACATTAATGTGGAGATCAAGTGTTCTCTCAGGCTGATCTTAAAGCTCTGTGGAAGAAATACTGCTGCTGAACACAGTCAGTATATTCTGTCGGTATCGAGTTCCTTTAGGTCTAACAGTATACTTGACATGTTGTTGTTGGCACAGCAGAAGAACTCCTGACATGCAATTTAAACTTCAACCAAACTCTTCACTAAAACCCAGGCTTTGCTGAAATGGATAAACACACATATAGGCCAACCTTAACTGTTGGCAGGTGTGAGTCTGCAGCGGAGAAACTTAAGCTGCAGACTAAGTCTCTGCAAGCAAACCGTCTACTTATGTCGACTACGTAAATTTTACAAGGTTCAACAAAATTACAAACAGGACACAATAACCAGGACTGTGCTGTTCTGTCTAGAGGTTAAACATAAAACATCCAGTCAAACATGAATTTTTCAGACCAGAGATGCTATGAGAGACAATCGTGGGTGACACCTTTTTTGAGATTAAAACTTCAGGAAATCTAACTTCGTTTAAAAATATATATATTTGAAAGAGCATGAAAGAAAATTTGATTTTCAAAGAAAATGAAAGCTGCATACCCTATTGCATATACGTATCCCTTTAAATGGGTGTCTGAAAGCCTTTTAAACGAATATCACTACTATAAATACTACTACTTCATGTTCCACCGAACAGATTAAGGAGAAATAGACTAAAATGAATAAAATTCATGACAAAGGCAGATTTGTTGAAGGATGTAGCCTAATAATGCAGCCTTCCTTAGGTAAATGTTGCTGTTTGACACTAGAAAAATAACCATTTCTATATAGGACACTTAAATGCCCTGCATATAGAGATAAGAAATATCTCCAGTTAAGTTGAATTAAAACATTTAGCATTTTTGAAGATTTTTAATCACACTTAAAGGTATAGTGGAGGATTTTCTCACATTTTTTGAAGACCCGCCCTCTTCACTTAAAAAAAAAAGCACATGCACAACCCTGTACCTGCTCCCGAGAATGACCGTCTATTAAACGCATGCGAGAGCGTGCACAAGCCCATTTCTCTTCGTGCACGCTCTGTTTAAAAGTTGCTGTTTGAATCGCTCATACAAGCTTACTTTACAAGAGAAGATCTGCAATTTTTGTCACTCATTATCGGTAAGTGAAAATGGGGACAGCCTTATGTAAACATATCTACGGAATGATTGACAATTAGGAGGACCACTTATTTTGATTATCCACCCAGAATAAGAACATTCTCCACTATACATTTAGCCTTTCACACAGTGCTTTAGAGTATTCAATGATTTAAAAGTCTGACAAATAATCGCACTGGTGGAGGAGGTGTTTTTAGATTCCTGACGACCCTGGACTGTCTCCCAGTCCAGCTGAGAGACAGTTTCCCTCCATTGTGTCCTGGGTCGTCCCCTTGGCCTCCTCCTGGTGGGACGATCCTGGAACACCTCCAAAGGGAGGCGTCATGGGGGCATCTGATAAAGTCACCTGAGCCACCTCAGCTGACTCCTCTGGATGCGGAGGAGAGGCAGCTCTATGAGTCTCTCACTGGTGACTGAGCTCCTGCCCCATCTCTGAGGAAGAGCCCAGCCACCCGCTGGAGAAAGCTCATTTCAATCGTTTCCATCCAGGATCTTGATCTGTTATCGAGGACCCGGATTTCGAACAAAATGCTTAAACATCAGTTTTTTGAGTCAAAAATTGACTAAAGTATGGGGAAAGGTGGTAAAACTGATACCAGAGTCTTAACATTTATATTTACTACAGGTTTGTGTGGTTTCTGATGAAGAATTGCTAAATGTTAAGAAAAAGAGGAAGGGATCAATTAGGAAGAGGAGAAATGGTTTTATAGCTTTGGTCTATTCTGCTGAATCAAGCTGCTTGAATGTGGGTAAACAGAGCACCGGTTCATATAAAAGAGTGGCAGCTGTATCGTAGGAATTTCCTTGGTCTTCGAAATCTAAAACATTAGTTATCTGAATTCATTCATTAAATGTGTGGGTTTTTTTATCCCAAACTTATTCACTAAAATACATAAAACATGATGATAACCAGCCTGAGCTACATGTCTGTGGTGTTCAGAGGTGTTCCTCCTTTCATTCCTGTCCCTACCCACACCTTCCTAACTAAATGAGGCTGGGGGAGTGTGTGTTAAAATGCAGGGCTTACTGTCTGCCGCTGTGCTGCCATTGGGCAGAGAGCCCAGATCAACAACCATGCCGTCCAGACAGACGTTGAGCTCCCCTCCTGCCACAACCGAGCCTTTGTTCTCCGTCTGCAGCACCAGACTCAGCTGGACGTTCTCCACTATAGGAAGAAAGGATGAGCGATTAGAAGAGGAGAGAGTTGCGGTAAAAGAGGGAAAAAAGGTGGTATAAAGTGAGAGGAGGTGGAAGGGTGGAATAGGACATCCCTCGTTGCTGCTTTAAAATGGGAAAACACAGAGAACTCACTCAGGCTTGAGGCATTGTCTCCTTTCATGGAGGTGGAGTGTGTGCATACAGATAGATAATTACTGCCTTTAACAGCAGTTAACATTATGCTTGTGAGGCCACCTCAGCCTAGGCTGGTTCCAGCTGCAGAGCTCTGCAGTAACAGCTGGGCAAGGTGAACTACATTCCCAGAGGAAATAGAAAAAAAACATCACCTGGAGCTAATTAAGCAAACAAGTGAGAATCCATCTTTGTTAAAGCACCACAGTGCCTCATTTCAGCAGGAGGAAAGTTATACAACCCAAAGTGAAAGAGTGAGTAGCTGTTTAAACATCAGGGTCAGAACAGACCTCCTGTAACACTCTTTTTATGAGGGACTGCGTCAAACAACTGGACAAAGGGAGACTGATTAAACATGTTGGGTTAAGAAGGTTAAAACCCTCCAAGATAATAAACAAAAGTATCAAAAGCAAACTTTTAAGGATTAGAGTCAAATGCTACTCAAGTCTTTAACTGAAATCAAAACAGCTAAATTTACAAAGGTTAAAGATGCTCCAAAATGGTTTATTTTTCTGGTTTAACCTGAGTTTCATGTGATGAAAAAAAGGTGTATTTAGCTAAGTATTCGGTTCTGTATGACATCCCCACTCACTGTGTCTGAGCGTTGGAATGAAATCCATTAGATCTAAAATATGCTGCAGTGACAAGGTGAGTTATCCCCAATTTACACTGCTTGAGGCTGTGCTCCAGCTTTGATCTCTGCAGTAATTCTGCAGCCATTATACTAAATGAGAGCATATACACAGCCTCTGTATGGCAACTTTCTAATTTGATTCGTCTCCCAATGCAGCAGTCAATACAGCAATCACATTGCTTCAACAGGAAACGGAAAAATCCCAGCCTCCGGATTTTCAAAATAAATCACTAATTTTACTTCGAAACCCGAACAGTTCACGAGCATGTTTATAAATATGCCAATTATTAGTTGCATACGGAAGATTGCTATCTGGGTTATGTTTATTAAACATCCGGTCACATTCAGAATATAAGCTTCTGAAAGTACTTTGAGTTTGAGATTATTACATACTGTTCAATAAATAAGTGTTTTAATTAAGAGATTAAGAGTAATTTTCATTTGAATGTGCTTTACTGGAGACATCCATGTTTGTCAAAGAACACTACTGCCACCTGCCGGTTTGTGACGTCACAGTGCGGTATCGGCTGTTGAGTAAGTCCCAATGCGTGACAACCAGTGAAGAGATTAGATTAATTAGAGATTAATAGATTAATGACTTGTTTTTTCTCTGGCCAGAAATTCAATGGCAAATCCTCCCTCTTGAAGTTGGCAATCCAACGACGAACCCGTGGTGGATCACGAATTGAAAAGGTGAAATAACTTCATCCCCCCCCACACTTTTACCTGATGTATTACAACATCCAACTGCCATGCACGTGGGCATTGTCGGTTTAACTATAGCTCTCGTGAATTTCAGTGGTGAAGTCCTCTAAAAATCTTAAATGATGGTTGTTGATTGCAGGTTAGTCAAGTAGTTCCCATCGATGTTGCTTGTAGAGCAGGAATAATGGCGCTGGGCTTACCGCACCATGACGTCACTGCCGGAAGATGTCAGGAGGGAGGTGTTACTATATTTGGGCAAAAATGGCCGTTCCCAGGCTCTGTGATCGCTATGAAAAATATTGTTTGTATTTTTTTACTGATTAACGCTAAATTCATTTAATCACCGCAATCGTCTTAGTTTTAGGTATAGATGATGACCCATTGGTTATTCCTTGCCGACCACTAGGGGTGCTATACTTGTAAATTCCAGATAAAGCCCTTGAAAACAAATGGCAACAAAATAAACCAGCCTCCCTCTGTGATTTGAAAACTAACTGCAGACAACTTTGGACCAGCAGATTGAGAAGTTATGGAGTTCCTCCTTAATTTAAGGCCATATCCATCCCTCTAGATTATATTCTCCATCAGAGAACCACAAATCTGGCTTACATGACTCATTCAGTGACAAGTGTGTACTGACCATAAAAACCGTCTAATATTTAATTAAGCTAATATTTGGGTTCATAGTTGCACAGTTCTGCTTTAACTTAGATAATCCAAACTTATCAATTAAATATTAAATAAGCAATAATTATATATTTTCTGCACTGAGTGTATTTATCAAAGGAAAACAGTCATTTGAACTTTTGTAAAAATCCATTGGATGAGCTGTTTTGGTCTGACTTCTACGTTTATCACTGGCTTTAATGGAACAATCTGCTTACGCTACTTAGAGCTCCTCTAGGCTTAGCAACACAGCTGAGCTGGATGACGGGTAGATTGGGGGTTACTTTTTACTTTCCACTCAGAAGTTGACTTTTTTTAAATAAATGCCAGAACATCTTTGGTTGACAGTTCAATGATCTAAAAATAACCCGTAGCGTGTCCCCAGATCTTAAATTACTTTCGACTTCATCCTGAAACCAGTTTACTATTGTAAACTGTTTTTTATTGTGCTTTATCCTGCAATAAAAATAAAGAAAATGCTAACGTTATGGCTTTTTCAGATCCTGTAAAAGGCACTATTTTTATTACTTATTGTATGTATGATGTGCTGTCACGCAGGTCACTCTTAAAGGAAAATTCCGGTTTTAACACTTTTAGCCCCTTTTCTGTAGTGTCCAGGATGAAATCGAATGATCGACACCAAAATTTTGACGATTGGTCCTGTCTCTGCTATTTGGCTCATGCAGAATCCCCCCCTGGCTGCTTCAGAATGGCTTTCATAGTGCATGTCCGATAATGTCCTTAAAACAACCTTAAACGTTCTTTTTTTAAAATATGCTACTCACCGGGTTGTCAGCGCTGTTCAATGACGTTCAGAAACAAGTTTCGTAAAGAAAAAACGTTCCTGTAGTGTTTTATTTAGCATTTTGTAAATCCCATTGAGTTCTGTTGGAATAGTCAATATCCCTCCGCCACCGGAAACGGAAATGGGGCCTGTTTACGCTTAGTTGTAGTCTTTTCGCAAGGCCCAAGTGTTTCTGCTTCACTCTGTGTACTCCGACGTCGAGGTGCTAATGTCTCTGTTAAACACTTTAAAAAACTCTGAAAATGGAATACGAAAGGTGGATTCTTGAGGAGGACATATTTGACTTTGAGTTTGACGGTACAAACATTGTCGCCAACTAGTGGTCTGGAGTGTGCAACGCTTCAGATTCGAACGGGAAGCGGAAGTTTATAAGCGGTTGTGATGTATCGGAAAAAATAGTTCTGGGATTTACAAAATGCAAAATAAAACAAGACAGGAACGGTTTTTCTTCACTAAACTTTTTTTGGAACGTCATTGAACAGCACTGACGACCCGGTGAGTAGCATATTTTAAAAAAAGAACGTTTAAGGTTGTTTTAAGGACATTATCGGACATGCACTATGGAAGCCATTCTGAAGCAGCCAGGGGGGGATTCTGCATGAGCCAAATAGCAGAGACAGGACCAATCGTCAAAATTTTGGTGTCGATCATTCGATTTCATCCTGGACACTACAGAAAATGGGCTAAAAGTGTTAAAAACCGGAATTTTCCTTTAAAAAGAGAGATTTTATTCCGATAAGTTTTTAACCTGTTAAATTAAGATTTTTAAACTTTCCCCCTATTTCATCTTGGATAAGATTAAGTAGCAGATTAAGGCTAAAGAATTAACAAAGTATTGATGTAAACAATACTGATTTAAAAATATAAATATTTCTCCATAGACATGCAACAGAACTTTGATTCCCACCTTAAAATGCATACAATTACTTGACCCCACATTTATTTACACATATAAAATGAATTAATTATATTTATTTCTAATTTTTTAAATTACTTTTTATTATATAATTATCATTTTAAAAGCATTTTGGATAATTTAATGTGTCCATTTTACAATTGATATTTGAGTCATGCATTAGACAAATAATCCATGTTAGATCTATTCATTCCATGGTGAATTTATTCATTTTAAGAGACAGTCACATTTATATATTTAATCTTATATTTTGGCCCTCCATTTATCTCAGGGATCACATCACAATGATCGTGAAAACCATCTCATGACTCCTCTATTTGTGTGTTGTGCCCCTCTGGGAGGCCTCAACCGCCACTTTGCTCTGTGTCAATGATATATCTGCTCCCGTTTGGTTTTATTGAAGCCAAAATGATTGAACCAAAGGATTGCAATGTTGGAGTAAAGCTTTTATGAAGCTTCAGCTAAGATGTTTTTTCGCCAGGGTAGCAGATGTAGCCAGAAGAAGATTTTTTATGAATAAAATGTGTTCTCCATGTTGTTGTTTTTTCTTTATCTCGTTACACTCCTCAATATCTGTATTCTATGTTTGCAATGAATTAAAATCTGATCAGTATTTGCTAATTCATTAAACCTGGAAAACTCAAAAGTAAGTACAAGGTAGGTAATGCAGAAATGAAGGGAGGGTATATTTGACCGAAACTATGCAGAATGCTTTTTTCTGCATGATCTTACTTTTGCCATCATGTGTGCGCAGTGTATCCAGAAGGTCTATGGTAGCGCTGCCCAGAAGCTCCTTTCTTAAGGTATGGCAGCTCCACAGCTTCAGATCCAGATGGCTCTCAGGCGTCACATTACTGCAGCACACAGGACAACGTGTCAAGGTGATAACACTTAGACCATTTACAGTTTATCTGATTTCTAAAATGACATCAAGTACAAGTTCATATCAACTCTTTAATTGAGCTGAAGAAAGTTCAGTTTACGCACAAAAAAGGAGATTTTATATAAAAAGTTAAAAAAAAAATTCTTCCATGAAGAGTGCATAAAGCTTGCAATGCATTATGAAGAAGAAATTCTGGCTTTGATAAAATCAGTGTGAATCTATGAGGGTTTGTCTCACAGGGTGAGGTCTTCATTCCACTGCAGCTCCAGGTGCCCGGTGCGTTTGCCTGTTTTTTTGGTTTCACTGGTCAGCCCGTCGGCAGTCACCTCGACGAAGGAGCTGAGCCGAGAGTGACGGTTCGGCAGCTTTGGAGACTGGGGCTTTGCTGACACCACTGCGTACAAACAAACAACGTTTAAGCTGCAAAGGAGAACACCATCTAAAGAGAGAAGATCCCTTTTCTTATTTAATTTAAAGGTTTTCACAAAATGCATTATTAAAAAAATACCACAAATTTAGCACAGCTTAACCAGTTCTTTAAAAATGTAATTGTTGCTGTTTTTCTGAGCCAGTTTGGTTCGGTTACTTTCCCGTATAAAGGTAGAGGATTTTCAATGAAAGATTTGACTTGCAAAACTTTTTTCAATGGAATTAGTAAGAGCCTGTTTGCTGCAAACATTCCAGCTTCCTTCCATCAATCGTCCGGCCCTAAATGTATGTTTAAGGATAAAAGATGCCACAATCTCAAGAAATAGAACCTTTCACAGAACTGAGATTTTATGCTTTGATTTCAAGACTGTAAAAAAAGTTAAAAGCTTAATCATAATTCCATAGTAAATACATGAGCATCTTAAAAATGCATTTTTAACATGAATTTTTTTTTTAAATCATAAATTGCTTGTCTTTCCTTTTTAATAAAGAAATTGCTTTACATTCAAATCAAAAAACCCAATAAGGTCATATATGAAACTAAAAAATGCTTTAAGATCTTTACTTGAACTACTTGCAATAATTTACTTATGAACTGTGCGTCAGATCTGATGCAGAATGAGCTGGAAGGACATGCCAGAATACAAACATTGCCCTCTAGTGGCCAAAAAAAAAAAGAATCAGCACAACTTCTCATGAAGGTAAAGTTGGTTAAAAAAAGTTACTCAAGTAAATATAACTGAGTAAATGTAAGTAGTTACTACCAACCTTTGGTTCTAGATCAGAGGTCTGTAACCTTTGCAACCTTTACTGGGTCTGTAAATAACTGACCAGAAATGCTTAAGAATTAAACAATATTTAAAGTAAGCAAGTTAAACAGATAATATTGCACAATATTTCCACAAAGAACAACATACTTTGAGGAAAATTCTTTTTTTGTCACTGGGTTGTAAAAGATGTGTCTTTTTGTCTTAATTTTTAATAAAACTGCCCAATAAAAACATATCTATTAAAGTTAAATGAATGAGGCGCACTCCATAACTAGATATAGTGACTTAATATAACAAAGGGTTTTTTGTTTTTTAATCACTGCTACTTATCTTATAAAGGCTGCACTTTAAAAAAAATGAAATTGTCTAGAGAGCTGTTCAAAATGAAATGTCTTTTTGTTTACACTTTTGTATACAAAATGACAAAATAAATCTAAGTCTAAAACCCCACAAAAACAAAAATTGCGTAGTAACAGTAACAAATCTACAGCATATATATAATAAAAATAAGTTGTTTCAATCAGTCATGCTACATTTGTGGCTCCAAACTCATTTTATTTAGAGGGACTGAACAGTAAAACGCCTCTTCGGGTTGTAAAGGTTTCTGACCTGTGTTCAGGCGTGTCTCTGTCGTCACAAACCTGACCAAGATTAACAGGTCTCTGCAGCAATCTGTGGCATCTTGAGGAAGTAATGCAATGATCGCAATGTTCTCAGATGACGAACACAAACCGAAATAAATACCAAGAACTTCTATTAATCCTCTCTCTCCAACAAAATCGTAGTTGATATGTTATGATATTAACACTTTGTGCATTCTGTGAATTTAACAAATTTTCAGAGATACAGAGAGCTCTGGTGATGGTTTGAATTTTATTACATGTTCTGAGAATCTTGTCAGGGCTTGCTTCAGTCCTACAAGTTCAGAAGCGTTTTACCCCAACAGGCCAGAATGCTGAGAAACCTGCAAACGGCTCATGACAAATAAATAATCACAGACGAGAGGTGAGCAGATCTACTCTGGCTGAGACATGTTGATAATGCCTGAGCTCTGGCAAAGCAAAATATGACTCACTGTGGAAAACAGTAATGAAGGAGGAAGTTATAGAGAAAAAAGAAACAATTAACGCTCCTCTTTCAATAGAGGAGCTCCACCGAAGGTAAACTGTAGTTAATTACTGGCTGAGAGTCTGTGCTGAGGCATCTTTAGCTGAATCTAAATAAACTGGGAACATATACCAGGATCGTTTTTATTACTAAACAGCTGCAGAGGGCTTACTCCATTCAAAATGTTTATGAACCTCATACCTAAAGTTTAATATTTGAACATTAAGTAAGCGAAAGTCAGCTTTTGGTTTTCAAAAGATGGATGGCATACATGCATCCATCCATTTTTTGATACGCTTATCCCAAGCCTATCTCCAGCTGTCTAAGGGGCAAAAGGCGGGGTACACTCTGGACAGGTCACCAGTCCATCGGAGGGCAACACAGAGACAAATAACCATTCCCTCACACCTAAGGAGCATTTAGAGAAGCCAATTAACCTAACAGTGATGTTTTTGGACTGTGGGAGGAAGCCAGAGTACCTGGAGAGAACCCACACATGCACAGGGGTAACGTACAAACTCCATGCAGATGGGAATCAAACCCGGAACCTTCTTGCTACAAGGCAGCAGTGCTACCCTCTGTTCCACTGGTCAGCCCTCTGTGCATACAATCAACTACAAAAAAATGAATGTGTCGAGCAAATAAACTGCTTTTTGTTTTTGAAAAGCAGGTTTTAATTCTGCAGAGATTCACCGACCACTCTGGCTGTAAGATGTTGGGGTGAAGAAACACTTTGCAACTAAATAAAAAAAAAAAAATTATTCATTTATTTATCTTTTTTAGTTAAAACCAAATGTAAATATTTCATATACAAAAGAACCTTTTCAAAAAGTCTTCATTATGTTGAGTTTCTGCTTTTTTTTCAGTCACCTTCAGCTGAAAAAGGTCCATTTAGCTTATATCTAATAAAACAAATGAAGCCTCTTTAAACACACTTTCCCATGACCAAAGAGCTGGCAGCACAACTCTTTCCTCATGCATCGGGTTTATTTTAAAGAATTGGAATTAACTGTACCTTGGAATTACCTTCCAAACATCTGCAATGCACTTAAAACATAATGATATAACATTATTCCCGGTAAAAAGATGGAAAAAGCCTGAGATAAATGGACATGTTTGCAGCAACAGGATCTCACACAATCCACCCTTTTATTTACATTATTTAGTGGAAAAACAAAACATGTTAGAATATCTGGACAGTTTGGCAACTTTTCCTTAAAATACCTTCAACAAATTAAAAACGATACGAGCGTTCAAGTCAACTACTAATCCATCCGCTTTTCTAAACCAGTATAAAAAAATATCTAAATAACCAAAATATTAAATTTAAACCTCACCTAAAATAGCTTTTAATTACAATGTATTTCACTTTAACTCAGTTTAAGCTCAATTTTTATTTTATGAATTATTATTTCTGCTAATCTCTTTTCTTTTTCTGTACTTTATTTCAGCTTCATAATTATTTTCTCTGCATAACATCTTTTTTCCCGGCCACCATGAGACAGTTTAATGCCTCTGGAAGGACCGACTTTTTAATTTATTTTTCAATCCAATTTTATGTTTTTTTTATACTATTTTATATATTTTTTACCTCTGCTACAGAGCAGGTAAATTTCCCCTATCCGTGGTTAATAAAGTAAGTATCTAGAAAATAACCCAGCCTGTAATAAAGATTAATTATCATTGTGATTTTTTCCTAATGATCATACGTACAGACCAAGTTTAAGTTACTGTTTATATATGTGCAATGAAATAGATATTGTGGATGTCAATTGATAAGCAGCATGTGGTGCTAACATAATGCTAACACTACTAGAAAGTAGCCGTTTTCGATGTGTACAACTTTAAAAACGATGATTTTTCTATTTCAGATCCAGCACACCTGTCTTTCTAAAGAAAAACACCTCAGATTTCTTCTGACACTTCAGTTTATTTTTTTAGAAACTTGAAAAAGCCATGGGTGAGCTACACCTTTTCTGCCAAACAGCACCAACTCTCTCTCTCAACAATTTGGCAGGTGGAAAAGGAGTGAACACCAAGTTTCCTGGCAGGCAGACACGGCGTCCTCCACTGCCACTGGCATCCACACTACCTTTAAATGATGCACTTTTTAACGAGCAGTTAACTCGTTTAAGCAGAGTTGAGTTTTCAGGAACTTTTTATTAGTCATTAAAAAAAGCAAAGAGTCTAAAGATAATTTCTTATAGGTCAATCTTGCAATCTTTCCTTAAAGCATGGATGAAAAAGTCTGAAAGTAGGAAAACTGTTTGTTTTCCTACAGTCTGTTTCCTTTACAGATGCGTAAATAATGCACAAATGTTGGTTCATGTGATGACTTATTAAGAAACATCCTCCTATTATTTCCTGTCTTCATCTTTTTCCACAGTAGTAGCATCCGGTTGTTAAATAAAAAAATCAAAAAGGATTTCAACTGTAGTTTTTAGTTTGAAACACCAATTTGGATATGGCCGAAAAGCCACCTCATCCTAGCACAGAAACTTTGTATCAAAAATCATGATTTTTGGTTAAATTTACTTGTGTAAATATAATTACCCAATTTTGAAGGTCAATCGAAACAAAACTAATAAAAAGTGGGATTTTTAGGGTCACCAGGTCTCCATTGCAATTTCTTTTAAGAACAGACCTTCATCGAAGAGGGACATTTATCATCAAGGATGGCTTTAAGAGTGTATCCAGAACTTTGTGATGTCCAATTCATTGATAACATCTGCTAAGAAGGAATTTATTTTACAGTTGTAATGTTACCCTCGTCCACTAAAAGTATGAGCCTCACTGGCATTTGCAAGAGAAGTAATTCCAAAGCAGAGGCATACTATTGCTCTGTTCAAATTCATGGGACACGTCCTTAGAAGGCCAGATTGGAAGGACGATTACATCATCAGCGAGCGTTACGGGACGTCCGCATCACCTACCTTCTCAAGTAATGAGGTTTGTTTACATAGATCATTTTAATACTGCCATCTATTGTTCAGTACCGTCTCAGTTCATCTCTCTCAACTTGCCGTAGTTACTTTCGAGCGTAATGGGCGATCTCGCAATCGCTAGTTTGTTGGCTCTGCGCTGCCGTAGCGCAAAGATGTCTGCCTCCATGGCTGCGAGACCCGCTCCTATGTAATTATAAATAACGAATTCTAAGCCAACGCAAATATTAAGGTTAAGAGGCTGAGCTCGTAGATGATGATAAATAACATAGTTATGTATAATATATTACATTTCTGACTGTATATCCCTGTAATTATTACACACTGTAGCTTTAACTGACTAAGGTTTCTATCATTACATTTTATTTTATTTTTCCCTGCTCCCAGTGGTTGGCACCTTCATTCCACTCAATAAAAAAGAAAGAAATAAAAAAACAGTTTTGAAAACTTCGGTATTCCTTCTTTTCCTGCTTTGTGTGTCAACTGACATGGTTGCTAAGCAACACAGCCTACGGCGGTAAAACCCGCCGAAGGGTAGACCTGTTTGAATTAACAGCCAAAACTCTTTCGGTCTCCTTATTGTCACGGACTTCGAAGGATCCAGTCTAGGTAGACCGCGTCCTTGGAGGATGCAGCCCATAAATCGAACAGAGGCTATAACAGAAACCTATATAGTGGTTACGCCATTTTAGATGAATATCCAAACGTCTAGTGGATGAAGAACTAGTGGACTTGAAATTTCCCACAATGCACCTTGAAAAGTAGATAATTCTTGTTCACTATACGAGCAGATATATCCCGTATATATACCCCATGCTTTGCAAGGAGAGCTGTCCTGGCAAAGCATTATGGGATTTGCTGTCAGAGCGGCGACTAATAACAAAGATGGCGCAGGCACAGTGCAGAGTCACATGGCCGAAGTGAAAAGCAGTCTGTCCTAACTGTCAGTTTTCTGAGTTCACTATAAAGTCAACTACATAGTATCTGTTCTAAGTATAAATCAGTTGAGGGATTTAGGTTCGGAAAAGGCCACTGAGGCTGAATAAACTTCTGTTTGTAAATAGAAACACTGAATTATGTTCCTGTTATCACCTAAATAGCTTCCATTTAGTCACGCTGCATGCAGGGGAAGCGTCGTCAACTTCTATGCTGTGCATAGAAGGTGAAGATGTGATTATAGATGCTGGATTACCGTTTATTTCCAGTAACTCATTTTAGGCAACAGCAGCATTAACCCACAGAGTCTAGGTCACTGACAGCCAAGCATCTCTAGCTACAAACAGATGTCCTTATTGTCAGACTGGTTGGTTTGCTGTAGAAGTAGATTTTGGTTCATCATCTTGATGCCATTCATTTATATACTTTGTGCGCATTGAAAAGATAAAAACATGAATCACTAGAGCGGCGTTTTCCATACAGTCTTATTAGATTATTACCTTTCAGGGTTAGCTGAGACTTTTCGGTGGTCTGGGCACTGCCAGGTCTGGTCACGCTGGCAGCTGCCATGACATCACAGCTCTGAAACACAACCGCAAAAAAACAAACAATATTGAATAAATCGTCCCCATCTTCATCGTGGGAGTTTCCATATCATCGTCAAACAGCCTCAGAGACACATTTGTCAATGAGATTAGAGTCTGCTCTGTAATTTGAACTTAAACCTGCACCAGTTTGCATAGTTTCTCTCTGCAACCGAAACATTTATTCCTTCTTCTGTTACTTCCTATTATCCAAGAACCAATACATTTTTTTATAGACAGAATTGAAGATTTCAATGACAAAAATTTTTTCCCCATTCCTCTCTAGCTTTTCCATCTTCAGGATGTCTCCAGCACCCTCTGTGAAATCCTCTTTGTCCATAAAACTTCATTTTAAAAATTAATTTACATAGTAATGATCATAATAAATTTAATCTGAAAGCTTTGAACAAAGAGATCTGATCTGTACACAGAATTAATCTGTCAAATTAATCCAATCAGACCAACAGCTTCAAATAAAATCAAATAAGTTCAAATTCAATAACAGTTATTAATGAAGACAAATGCAGTTTAACAAAGTAAGAAAAGAGCCAGCAGCATAAAATAACCGACTCTGCTATAATCTGTCCTACAGAATGAGTACATAGAGACAGCAGGCAGCTGATCGCAACAATACTGAGTATGAATGTGGAGACAGTGGGAAGCAAAATCTGGCTCTGAGCTGCCATCTGCTGTGTCCGTCTACGGTGAATGCATGGCGCATAAAGATTAAAATAACCAGATATTTCACCGGAGTAAAAAGCCAAAATTCTGCTTGGAAACAAACAACACGCAATTAAAATGCCAGTTGCAATAAATGAACAAATAAAAAAATGTCTCTCTGCTTATGGTTGATAACAAACTTAAACTACATCCTCCATTAGAAGTGAGGATGATGGGAAGGTTGGCTCTTTCGGCTCCAAAGCTGCTCTTTATTCAATATTATCTGTGACCTCCTATTTTAGCCTGCTGTTAAATATGAATGTTTTGCATGTTAATAAATCATTTTGCATTTAGATTTTTTGACGAGCTTTACACTTTTCCCAAAGTTTGTTTTTTCTTGTTACAAAACAGACATTCTTTCTTTTTTATGATATTCTATTTAATACTTTAGCACAAAAAATAAATAAATAACTGCAAACAAATACACCAAAGAGAACCAGAACACAAACGGAAACAAACTCCACCCCTCTGTTTTCATAAAATAGTACCATCCAGTATATATCCACACATGCATATGCACATCAATAGATCTCTAATCTTGGCAGAGCTTTTTTTCCCCAGCATGTTTGAGAACGGCCGTGCGAGGATTTGGATGAGCGTTGCTGAGTTGGATCGGCTGTCTGAGGCAACCAGAGAATCTAAATCTGTAGGATATGTAAAAATCATTTTGCTCTCCTCCTCCTTATCAATTAAAGATGTCACCTCTGCCCTTGTGTTGCTGTTTTGTTCTCTTTTGTAAGTGTGTTTTGTTTACAAGTTTGGCAGCTGCTCTTGTGGAGTAAGCAACAAAATATGGGCTCAAATTACTCCATGTACTTCATATAATTCATTATTTCCATCTCAACAACATTAGTTTGCAGCATTAAACACCTGCTATCAGGTACTGAGCATCTGAATGCATGGATGGTAGCCCAAAAATTTTCAAATATTTTCAAATATTCGCTGCAGCTCCAAGTGTTGCTTTTTGTGTACAGTGTTACAGCAATAACTAACAGATATGGGATGAACTTTCTTCCATTATGTTTTAAAATCAAAAACACTTTCTGTAAGTGAAAATCTGAAAGAAATGCTATCCAGAAATTACTTTGGAAAGCTATAAATAAAAAATAAAAAAAAGGTTTAAGAGTAAATTAGCTGTTTTCTCACATATTTCAAAAGTATTTTTTTTTTCTTTTTAAAATGTTGACCTTTCTATTTTTCAGAATGAGTTTTCCAAATTGCCTTCTTTTCAAATTGCATTATCTGGATCTTGTTCTATTTGCTTCTGGGGTCACGCTTTCCTCTGGAGAGAGCTGCAAAGATACATTTTTATTATGCAGCATAATATAGAAAACCTTTTAAATGAAGTGGATATCACTACATTAAAACCACTGTTAAGAAATTAATGTCACCCACCGCAGAGGTGTGTTCTACTCAGAGGCTGAGAGAACCAGCAGCTTCACCTTCAGCAAAGTCAGATATAAGCTCTGCAGCATTTCATGAAAAGAAAACTGCAACGTAAAACAGCAGTGCAATCGCTGAAGATCTCAGCCCTTTGACCCCTTTTACCAGCTCAAAGTGAAAGGTAAAGGTGAAGTCTGTGTAGAAATCACTCCTCTGGGTGTTGCTTACTAATCCTAGACTGCAGCTTGTATTAAGAGCCGGATTTCAAAACAACCTCGACAACAAAACAACAGCCTCAACAACAACCAAAAAAAACCATTTTTATGCCTCATTCAACTTTGCAATTCTATCACCGCTTTATGCAAGTGAAACAAATGGTTTCCAGCATTACTGGGTGATTATTTCAGACACAAGCAGCACATTTTCCCACTCTGGAAAGCCAGAGCAGAATAGATCTGATTCAAAACCATATAGAAATTAGCAGCAGGTCAATTTCCCTCTGGGATTATTAAAGTATTTCTGATTAACGTATATATTACAAGATCCAATCCTTATTATTATTCCAACATAAATAAGTACAATATCACAATAAGTAAGGTCTGCTTGGATGAGTTCAGCCTTTAAATGATGTTGGTCAGCTGCATAGAGTCTCCCTGGCCTCGATTGTCTCAAAGGATACAGAATCTGGGAACTAAAACACTCATTTAGATCCTCATAGACCCTAAAGGTGAAATTCACCTGCCAGGCTTTGTGGTCCAGCAGACCAGGAGGGATGAATCCAGCCTCAATCACAATTACTGCAGACAGGGAAAGGTTCAAAAATTGTTTGAAAATGTATGTTGTCATAAAATTATACAGGCCTAAAAATGCTTTCAGTTGCATCAATGTATGACTGGCTGTAACCTGGAGATAAATCAAAATGTCGCCATTTTAACAGGTTTCTGACTGTAACTCAGAAACTGAATGTCAACTTTGACTACGACTCTTTTCAGTTGCAGAACTAATCAGGTTTAGCAAATAATAAAATAATAAATAAAATCTGAATCTAAAAGCTTTTTAAGGCTCAAGCATAAAATTTGTCTTGAGGGCTTTGAATTTCTTGGCAGGAGACCCTGAGATGACTTTATACTGAGACTAATTGTTTATCCACACATCTCTGGCATATATCAGAATAAACGCTATATTCATAAAATTGATTAAAGTCCTTAAAACTGAAACATCAAATGCTTTCCAACCTTATTGTTTGTGCCATTCAGATGAGGCAGGTATAACTGGAAATTTTTTTTTTTTTTTATGAAGTCATTAAATTAGTTTTAACAAGGAACTGGCTAATGACCTCACCCAGCCAATCTTCCGCTTATTCAGCCCTGATTTTTTTAGTTAAAAACTAAAAATATACTTTTTTCTCTCTAACCAGTGAATGCATCATAACTTGGCTCTATCAGGTTGTTTAACCACATTATTCTGTGTAATTTGTTCTCAGTTCTCCATTATCGGGATTGTCTTTGTCCAGTTCTATCCATGGACCATCCTAGAATAGCTCATGTTGGCTGTTTTGCAAAATCAGTATAGTTTTATTAACATAATGTGGGATACACTAAGAGGTCTTGGTAATACTAACAGATAATGAGCTCATCGCAAAGGTGCTGAAAACAGATTCAAAATAAAACCTATGAACAGTTTAGTCATTGTTTTAAATTATAGTAGAATATTCTAAAGCGGCTGAGCTGTGTTACAGTAGCTCCCTTTAACACTGCCCTAATTAAATCAAATATAGACCATGACAGAACAAGGATAAACCTTAATCTGTAACAGCCATAAAACCCAATAATGGCAGGATTGGAAACTTGAATCTGAATTGAATGTTTAGTGAAGATATGCTGTAATATTTTGGTTTTAGTCATACCTGCCGTTTCTTTATAATTTTAAAGATTCTACTTTATTTGTAGTAAAACTGCGTCGAACTTTCATCAGCTTTAGTAAAAACATTTTTTATTTATTTATCTGCAAACACTGTTCTAAATCAGTTTAATTTTCAGTCCAATCTGAATATTGGTTTAAAAAAAAGCTATTTATTATTATGAAAAATAAATCCTAGTGAAGTTAGTGTGGTGTTATAGCTTAAAATAATGATCAGTATCTTTGTTATTTAGCTGTCATGGCCTTATTTTTTAATTTACAATGTAGACTGTGTCATAGGCAAGAGTTTTCCTTCCTATTGTTTTAAATACAGCTATAAAGAGTTATTATCCAGTTTTTTACTCAGAGTCAAAACTGAATGTATGTGTCATGTTGGAAATAAGCCAGAGAGTGAGTTTAGTTTAGTCCAGTTCAGTAATCTGCTGCTGCTCCAAGGTGACTGCAGCTGGCATCCCAGCCTGAAACCACAGAACACTATATCTGCAAAGCTTGATGATTTCTGGTAGTAAAACAAGCAAATAACTGGGTCATTTAACAACAGGAAAACAAGAACAAGCAAACCTTATGTTGGGGTTAAAGACGCAGATGATCCGATGGGATTTATCGCAACAAAAGAGGACAACATCACCTTGTAAACCCGACTGACCAGAATAATAATGTTAACCTAACGGCTCCGGAGCCATTTTAGCTTAACCTAACTGCTGACTATTTGTTGGTGATAAACATATTTATGGTCAGCCTATTAAATACCCATGGCAGCGGTGTACAAAACACAAACACGGAAGATGATTGAGGCTCGCGCACATAAAGAACACAAGGACACCGTCACAGCTTCCGGCGCCTATTTTCAAAATAAGACACGAAAGTAAAACCTCCATCTACGAACCAGGATCCTAACGAGGTCTGTTTGTAAAGTAAATAGAGTCAAACCAGTTCGTGTATCACTAAATAACTAAGGAAAAATTCCGTGATGAAATATTGAAAATGTTGATCAAAAACAGGAATAAAAATTGGATTATAGTTTGGAATAAGTACAGTGAAGGAAAACCCATTTTTTAAACAAATCCTCTTGATTGAGAGAAACCTTAACTGTAATAAAGGATTATAAAAGAAGTTTTAAAAATAAAGATGATGTCCCAGTAAATCATTAGTGAAATTTGAGCAATGCAGTACCCATATTTTCTCACAAAAAAGTTAAAGTGTCTTGTTCATTTACAGAAGAGGATTAAGGCCACTTAAAAAATAAAAAAGGTAACTGATTTTTAAATATTATTTCAGTTGAATATGGGAAAAAAGTCAGAATTCTGACCTTACTTGCAGAATTCTGACTTTAATTTCAGAATTCTGCCTTTATCTGGCTGAATTCTGACAGCTAACAAACATGTTAGCATCAAGCCATAGCCATGTCTGTTTTAGAGATTAGCTCTATTTTTTAATGACCTTCTGCTCTTCCATTAATGAAATAGCATCACTGGGGACCCCTCAGGCATGTACAAAGTCGCCTAATTCCATCATTTTCCACCAATGTGTCACTGGCCCTCTCAAACAACTCACACCATGTCAGTTAAGCTGAGTGCTCCCACATCTCTTCCTTCATGGTGACCATCTAAATTAAGATAAAAAATTCTGAGATTAAAGTCAGAATTCTGAGATTAAAGTCAGAATTCTGAGAGTAAGGTGGGAACTCTGAGAGAAAGGTCAAAATTCTAAGATTAAGGTCGGAATTCTGAGTTTAAGGTCAGGATTCTGAGATTAAGGTTGGAATTCTGAGTTTAACCTTTTCATAACATGAGGACCCAAATTTGGGTCCCCAGCACTCACCCCAAGATGGTTTTTAGACCTATAACATATTCTCTGGGGTCTTGCCTTTATTTTGATACCAAAACAATTAAAATAAACTCTGTAGTTCTTGAGATATATTCAATTCATTTTGGGCATGTTATTTTCAAGCATATTTCTCGAAAACAGGCCTAGTGTCCAAGAGGTTAAGGTCAGGATTCTGAGATTAAAGTCAGAATTCTGAGAGTAAGGTCAAAATCCTGAAATTAAGGTCAGGATTCTGAGTGTAAGGTCGGAATTCTGAGAGTAGGGTCAAAATTCTGAGATTAAGGTCGGAATTCTGACTTTTTCCCCCCATATTACACTGAAATAAAATTTAAAAATCAAGTATCTTTTTCCAGTGGCCCTAATACTCTTCCGTATTCATTAAACTGTCACAGAGAGAAAAAAATAGCAGAGAATGTTACCCTAAGTTCGAATAATCGATAAACACAATCATTACAAGCATATTAATCACAATATATACATCCTTAAATTTGAAGGGTAATTTTTGATACATCCGGTCCGACAGACTGAAGTTTCGCAAACTTGATGTTAAGGAGGCTAACTGCTAACTGCTTCGTAGCTGGATTTCACAAAGGACACCCCGGCAGATCTAGTTTTATGTACCAGAGGGGGGGCGAACCCGCACTAACAGCTGCGTTTCTCGCTTCAGCAAACGAGCAGCGGATTGACAAGCCGGAAATTGAAGCGATGTTGTGATAATTAACATACCCTTTTCAGCTGTGCTCTGCCGTTGTCGTTAGTGAACTTTCATTTCCGTCTCAGCAACAAAACCACGTGACCAACGCAACCTTGTTGTAATTGCGCAAAGGATTGTGGGATGTCCGTGGTGATGAGAAAACAGAGAAAACTAACAAATTATTGCAAAGGTTTGTTGGATTATGTGCACTACTGGATTCTCCCTAAAATTCCAAACTTACCTGAATTCTCTAAGAGAGACATTATTTTTGAAGCTGAGAAAATAAATTAAATTTAAAGACTACTAAATGCAATAATCATCATGGGCAAGTTTTTCATAAACAAATGTCCTTTTCTTAAAGTCAAACCATCTTTCACCACTTTTCACAAGGAACTCTGCCACCTCTTCATATCTCAAATTCATGGTCAAAGAACAAGATGCAGAACTTTATATGATAAACAATTTAGAACTGACGAGACGCCCCTAATGTGTGTGTATGTTTTTTTTTTTTTTTTTTTTGTTGTTGTTGCTTATGTTCTATTTGTCCTTTCTGTAAATATGGAAGCAAGCTGGGTGGGCTTTTCAGGTTTATATACATCTGATGCCTATACCATGTCTGTTGCATATGATGGTTATAATTTAAAAAATAAAAGAAATTCTTTGCAAATAAAAAAAAATTAATTGGAGTACTAATTAGTCTTTATTCAAAACTCCCCATACAACCAAAAGCTAAAGAAACACACTTTAAAATTTTAAATGCAATTTTCCCCTCAAAAGAACTACGACTACTTCGTCTTAATATGAAAGTGGTGTAGAAACGAATGACCATTTCCTCTATGAAGGCAATCAAACCAAAACATTTTGGAATTGCTTAGAAAGATTGCACTTCCTGAATCTATCTCTAGTGATATGGTAACTTTTGGGATACTATTAAAAAACAAAACAATAGAACTCTGTTATAACCTAACTTTGTGTTTAGCAAAATTTTTTATTCATAAACAAAAAGTGTTGAGATCATCCCGTCTTTAAAATTTTTTAATTTGAATTAAAGTTTTATTTGAAATCTCTTAAATGTATTGAATCATAGGAATACCTGACTGAAAAACTAATGGGATTGCCCACCTATGTACATAAATCATAAAATGTTAATAGTTTCATTATCATTCTTTTTTTTTTCCTTATCAGTTACTTTGTATTTCCATTTTAAGATCTGCCTCTACTATGCCTTCTACAGAATTGTATTGTTGCTATTGCCTTACTTGTTTGTACTTTGTTTAAATAGTTCATTAAAAAAAATAAACTTAGCAGCGTTCTTTCCAAGCAGCGCACTGCTTGCATTCTCAGAGCACAAGAACATCTATTGCATACAAAAATAAATTTAACTGTAATTAAATTTGACCAATAATAATTTTTCTGAATAATTTTCAGTGTCTCATCCAACTTAAAACAATGAAAATACGTGAAATATTTTTAATTTTAATAAATTTTTTTTTTTGCTCTTAAGAAAACCAGCATTGGAGAAAACGGTAATCCTAACGATTTGTGGGTTTTCATTTTCTTTCAATAAACCCAATTTTAATTTCATGACCAGACACTGTTATTTCTGTCTAAGATATTCTGAATACAACAAATGTATTTCATAAAACTGCTGTATAACATCAGTTGTAAAAATAAGTTATTTTCTTTTGCAGTTGTTTTTACAAGCCTTTGTAAGAAACAAGTGTAAGAAAGCGAAGCTACTTCTTTAAAAAAGAAGGGTTGAAAAAAACCATAAAAAATACAACAAAACTGATTTATTTTTAAAAAAAGAGATAACAAATATATTTATCTAACACACAGAAAAGTTACCCTTAAAACAACAAAGAGAGAAGCTTCTCTGAAACAATGACCATAAGTCACATTTTTCAAAAAACAGCTTCTGTTCCAGTCAGTGCTGCTAAAACTCCACTCCTCATATAAACACTTCATTTCCTGATAATCTGATCCCACAGACCAGGGTTGAATCTGCAGAGAGGATGCGGTTCAATGTTGATTTCTAGGTGACAACAAAGCATTAATGCAGCTTATGCTGCAGCCTTTAGTTGATGGTGAGGACGTCGCTCTGGATCTCGTGGCTCAGCTGGGTCTGCAGGTCGCTCAGTTTTCTCTTCAGGACGGCCAACGCTGACAGAACGATGGTCTCCGGCCGGAGGGAGCCGCAGGACTCTACGTTGAAGTAAAACCTGGACAGAGTCGCATCACACATGAGCTTCATTCAAGCCTTTTGGCTGCTGGTAATAAAGTCCCATCCAGCACTTTCTAAATTGTCATTTCATTGTTTTGATACTGAAACTTTTGTAGTCTTGATTAATTTTAATCAACATTCCCCCCCTCATATTTCTCTGCAAGTTACGTACTAGACACATCACACTCAGTGTTTTAAAACATTTAGCAGACCTATAGCAGTTTTTTATTAAACCTTTAGCTATACAGGTTGTCGCATCAAGATCAACAATTTCATTTATACAGGGTTTATACAGGAATGAATAACTCTAATTTAATGCTTTTTAATGCTCTTAGAAATAATTTTAATGCCACCAACAGGTACCCTTCGACAGGCTGCAGCCAAGCCCTGAATTCCTCGTTTTCCAACCACTTTTGTTGAAATTGGCATTCTTCCCCATTCTCTAGCTATTTCTCCGACTCAAGCTTCTTTTCCGAACATACGTCTTTGCGATCAACCGGAAGCAGTTCCACGCAAATATATCGTGATGTAATATGTCTGACCAAATAGTTTTTACAAAAAAATTATTTAAAGCATTTTAAATGTAACAATAAACATATTCAATGAATTTTAATGCCAATTAAGGCCTTAATTTAAAAAATATTTTAATGACTTTTAATGATTTTTAATGACCCGCGGAAACCCTGTTATAGGAGGGATCTGTTATGGAAAAAAAAAAACGTACCAACAATAGAGACAATTAAAACAGTCAACTAAAATCTAAAGGATAATAAAATAGACGCTTCTAATAAAAATGGAAGCAAGTTTTACAAGAAATTAGTCAATTTTGGGATTAATTGAGTGAAGGGTTTCTATGGAGGACCTAGAAAGTCACTGAATAACAAAAACAGCCATTTCGAATTTAACATTTAAATCATGCAATTGCACATTTTAAAATAAATTTCTTTTTTCTCTCTTTTTACAGCACTAGTGGCTCGCTTTTTGTACGGTGGGCTGACAGGAAAGGGGGTTTCAAGAGAAGGGGGCAAAGGACCACAGGTTGGATTTGAACCCGGTTCGGCCACATTGAGGACTAGGGCCTCCGTACATGGGTTATGCGCACAGTATGGAGGCTTGCACAATGCCTCTTACTTGTATTATTAAAGTGGAATTGTAAATTGTATTTAATAATCTGTTAATAAATACTGGAATTCAAATCCTATTTCTAAATGATGATCTAAAAACCAAATTCATAAATCTGTTTCTAAATATCTTACTAATAACACATTTAAAATTGTTATTCCATTTTCTTTTTTATTTTCAAATCCTTTTTGAAATAGCATTTTCTTTTGGCATTAACCATTCACCTTTTCCCTGACTCTTCTGGTCCTTAAGCACAGTGAACACACAATTAAACCAATCATAGCTTTTGTTCTAATCTAAGCAGCTTTCCCATTGGTTAGACAGCAACTGTTGGATCATAACAGTGTGGCTGCAGTAGGAGGCACTGTGCGAGCCTCCATACAGTGCAAGCGCCAAAATTGTTCAGAGTTCAATAATGGATGCAAGAAAGTTAGCAGAATCAGGCTCCAAAGTTTCACGTATTTAACGGGAACTTTGTGGTCCGTGTACGTTCAGGCAAAAATGTTTTTTTTTTTTCTTCTATAGACTTGAAATACAAAGACAGGTGCACAGATGGTAGTTTTGGGTAAATATTTCAAAATAAAAGCAAAAATAAGCGCTAAGATTTGTATGTTAGTGTTGCTTTTAGTGAACAACAGGCGTGTGTGTTGTAGCCGATGTCTTCTGACAGCTAAACTTGAAATGACACAGGATTTATGAATTAATGGGACTGTTGCCCATGTTGGCGAATCTGCCAGCTTAACGTAGCACCTCGCAATCATGAAGATATATTTATGAATAAAGAAAACATTAGCTGAAATAAAAATAAAAACTATAAAAAAAAAAAAGCTAACAAACCATAGAAAGAGAGTTTACAAAACCAATTAAGACTACATTTTCAAAAAGAATGTGAAGTTTTCCTTCTTTTGTGAACGTTAATGGTGGTTGGCAAACAGTTTGAAAGGGCAATAGCGCCACCTACCAGTATGTATAGTGGAACAAAATGACAGTATTCTAACCAATAAATGTATCTACTTTACTTTATATCCATAATATAACAACCCAATATCCTATATCTTTATCTAATATAATTACTTTTTATTATTAATAATATATTAAACTTTTATGCTCCAGATGCTCCTGTTATTCCCTCCATCTCCAACCGTGTAACAATTCTTTCCCAACAAACTTCTTAGAGCTCCAAAATCCTTTCAGGTTGTCTGGCAATGATTCTGATTTTCTGTTTTATGCTAGGCTTGGTCTGTGCAGTTAATGAGATATTCTATTAATAAAATTAGTTTCTATATAATGATGTTCTCTTTCTACTTTATTTTGCTTCTTTTCTTTTTTTTTTTTTAACCAGATTCTGAGCTTCATTCATTTCTTCTTTCCTTTGTTATTGAACTCTCTTCACTGCCTCAGCATAGCTTATATTTTAACATGTTGTCTCTGCAATGCTTTCTTTCTCCCCTCATATCCTCCATAGATAACTCTGTGCTGGCCTCCACAGTGGCAGCACCGTTCTTCAGCTTCTTCCCTGGGCTCTTCCATTCTGTGTTCAACATCCAATGATTTGATTTTTTGCTCCTCATTGCAAATTACCAGAAAGTTTCCATCTCTCAATTTCTTCACTAATTCAACTTCCCTTATTTTCTTATTCATTTCTCTGGAAATCAAAATGGGGCTCAAATGACTCCGTTCATCTTCAGCACTGAATCTTAGTATTATTTTTATTTCCTCTTTGACAACCATCCTTTGCGCAGCTTTTTCTTCATCTGAACTTCTTTTTTTTCTAAATCCTGTGTATTTCCTTGATTCTCAAACCACCTTTCACCCCCTTTACCTCCTCCATCTCTCTCTTACTCATTTGAAACTGCCTTCCTCATCCTCATCTACCTCACTTGCCACTTTGTTCCATCCAATTACCCAGCCTCCGTCAAAGCACTTGTTCAGCACCAAACCATTTCGACCGACACTAGAGTCCCAACTCTGATCCTCCTATCAAAGACAGTGCTCAGTTTTCCTTTGTGTCTTTATCATAATGCATTATTACTAGATGAAGTTTCTGATTACCGTTTCTGCCTTTTTTCGCTGTACCACATTATGCCACCAGATGGCATTTACAGCAATCATGTCATTTGAACAAGTCTGTCCTTGTCTGGGATTTCATTTCCATCATTTAATTATTTATCTTTCGGTCTTGCTCCAGAATAAAACACTAAAACTATAAGAAAAACTAATACAGCCTAATCTAAAACTATATAAACTTTGGTTCTAGGTCCTAAAATGTTTAAGCAGAGGCTTTTCTCACCTTTCTGGCTTGCCGTTTGGGTCATAAGGGGCCTGAACTTCATCCTCCTCAATCTCAGAGTACTCGCTCTTTGGCCTGAGAAAAGAATGACACCATCCATCAACTAATCAACAATCCTACTTTAAGGGGAGCCGTACTGAAAAACATACCACTCCTCGGGGCGTGGATATACTGTGTGCCGCAGCGCGTTGTCTGGGTCATACTCGAAGGACACCCCAGCAGTCGGGTTCCACTTGGCGTGCTCCTTACCAAAGCCCTTCTTGGCGTACGCTCTGAGCCGCAGCTCCTGACCTTTACGTAGCTTCACAAGCAAGATGTCTGTGGAGTTTGGAAATTTCAGGAGAGGAAGTGGAAAAAGCACCCAGGATTTAAATTAAAACCAGAAGAAATCGCTTAAAAAAGTTTAAACTGCCTTATAAGACGAGCACTGTGGTTACCATCCTGCTCGACGTAGTCGTTTGGATCGTTGTCTCTGCTTCTGGAGGTGACCTGGAATACAAACACCATCAGATTCCTTCTCTGCTCCACAGCCTACAGCAGCACCTGAACAAAGACTCACAGGGATGACTCTGGGGTTGTTGGAGAGCAGATCACGGGAGGTGACGTGGCGCGTTTGGTCCTCTGTGCATCGAACGTCCAGAGTCAGCTCCACAGAGCACTCTGGACAGAAGTCATCACAGGTGCAGTCCTGCAGGAACAGGCAGCAACATGAACATCTGCCTCCACTACAAACCTCCAACTCTTTATATACTGATATGGTATGGTACCATTTTCTGTATTTCTGTTTTTATTTATTTGTGTTGAGGTATTAGAAATACAACTTCTTTATTTAAGCACAAAAAAAAGAAGAGAATTAATTAAAAGAGAATTAATCTTTGTTCTTGTCAGTCTGAGGACTGAACTTCTAGGGTGATCTAACTACAGTCAGCTCTTGTTAAAGTTTTTCTGTCTTTTAGGGGTTCAGCAACACTCGGAGGGATGTTTTCCCCCAAACTATCCCAAGAACTGCTTTGAGCCACAGGAATTCCTGATGCAACGACCGACTCACCCTTGAATACTGCATTTTATCCACTATGTCGTCGCTGGTGAGGGGAATGAGGCCTGGTGAGACAGGAAAGCAAGCAGATTAGCATTCAGGTCTCACTGCTCATAAAATGGCCGATTTGCACTGCAATCAACAGGAGATGCGTACCGACTCTGTGTGCGATGAACTCATCGTGCAGCACGGACGAATTGGCATCGATTTGGATCCAGTCGATGGCTGAAAACGCAGCGATGCAACTTTAACTTTTTGAGGGATTTTCAATGGCAAAGCGATGCTGGAGCTACAAATCCCTTTTAATAAATTACTTTTCACCAAACTTTATTTATCCTACGACTTCAAAAGGCTTGCGATAATCTCTGTCAAATAAGTTGGCACAGGGGGAAAGCTTAAATTCACACAATAATAAAGCAGATTTTTTCTTTGTATTTGTTAAATCGTCTTGATCTGATTTTAAGAAAAAATCTGCAGCAAAAAAAGGATGCTAGAGAAATGCATAAGGACTAAAATGAGTTATACTCTACCTATTGTGGGAACCTCTGACATGAAGACACGGCGGAGAGAGTTTGCAACCCTGAAAACAAACAAAAAGATATTTTAGAAGCACTGCAGCAATACATTTTTCAGAAACATGACTGTTCTCCCTTTCTCTGAACCTGCTTTAATGTTTTCCTTGTGATTAATGAGGCACCGTGATACCATAGGTTTGAAAACATAATTAAAAAAAAAACTGTAGTTTATACCAATCATAATCTAGTAATATTAAATACTTGATTTTATTAATTGAAATACTTTGATAAAAGACATTAAATAAAACATTCAAACTATTTTATATAGGTGACATTTTTAGTTGGTCAGAAATTTGCTTGAGAAACTTCAGTCAGGTTGCCGCCCCTCTTCATGCCATAACCTCATCCAAGGTTACCTTTTATTGGAGTAGTCAAGCAGAGGAGGCCTTTACAAAGCTCAAGACCCTGTTCACCACTGCCCCACTTCTCCAGCCCCCTGATACAAAGAAACAATTCATTGTTGAGGTTGGTGCCTCTAGCACTGGGGTAGGTGCGGTACTGAGCCAGAGGACCTCAGATGGTCAGATTCACTTCATTGTCACAGGCTGAGCGCCAATATGATGTGGGGAATCGGGAACTCCTGGCGGTTAAATAGCCCACCCTAGCTTGTTGTATATTTTTCTGAATCTGCTTTAGGTGGTCTTTGTTCAAGCTAGAATTTAGGTTTGGTGCTCCCTTTGGGTTGTTTTGAGTTAAATTTAGACTGACTGGTTTGGACATTTTGTAATTCTATTTTCACTTAACCATTCTTGAATTTGTTCGCCCTTTTCTTTTGTTTTAATTGGGTTAAGTTGTATTGTGTTTTGGGTCTGTGAAACCATCTTTTGTAATAAATAATTTTACATTCCACTTATTTTCTCTGGACACATTTTTATGTTACCTCTCCAGAACCATTAGACCTTGGGGGCGTAACATTATTACTATTACTAAGAAGTAATGGAAATGTAGCCACAGTTAAAGGGAAAAAAAAGGAGACCACTTCAATATCAGGACTTCATAAAAAAAGACCTGATCTTCATCAGAGTTATCTTAATGCATCCAGTGTCACATGTTCAATATTAAACAATAGGAGTGAATGGATTCTCAGCTGTTTGGTCAGACTAAAACATCATTTATGCACAGTTTAAGTCATTTGCACAGCTCTGTTTACCTCCCAGAGCATTACAATCATCTGAACTTTAAATGGGCCACAGATCATAATCTTTCACAGCATTTCTTCTAAACTTGCTGCTGTATTTGAGAAAGTGTTTCTGTCATTGTCCAACCTTATTTCAAGATCAGAATGATCATCTCACAACAGAATCTGTTTTGCCTCAGTATAAAGATGCGGTTACTGTGAACTCATGTAGCTTCAATAGCCTAAAGCATCACCCTTCCAACACTGTGCCTGCCAGCTGACATGAGAAGCTCGTGTTGTATAGTGTGTTTTTATTTAGGCCGGGTAATGTGGTCAAGCAGAAGTACATTCCTTCAGAAGACTTGTGGTTCATTGGGCTTATTTAGCACAAGTTTGTTTTGTTTTTTTCACTAAAAACCATGTTGTTCATAACGAAATATATTTATGCTAATATAAGCAAAAATGTAAAACCGCATTGAATACTGCTTACTAAATTGAGCTAAATTTAACCAGTATTTGAAGCCAAATAGCACCCTTTTCCTTTTTGTTTTGCCTCGTAATTGTTTTAAGGTGCAGGAAGGTAATGGCTAGCATGTTCTCAATATAAACTATTTAGTCAGTAAACCGTGCATAAATACTCACGCCAAATCCGTGTTTTCTATAACAAACTTGACATTTTCGTCCGTCAGTTCTGTTATTTTAACCGTCGGCTGGTTGGCATACGGCATTATTAAAGGTTATTTAGCCTAAAAAACGCGAGAATTGTCTTTCTTAACCACACCGCTGCTACGGATCGGAGGCCTTCGCGGATATATTTACTGAGATTTTATTGGCTAGAAATTGACAAGACGAGCAGTGATTGGTTGGAATTCAAAAGTCGAGCAGTGATTGGTTGGAAAGCCAGTTTGGAGGCGGGACTTCCGCATTCACAACCGGGTTCAGCAGTCGTTGGGGATTTTTCAAAGTAAAGCACTTTATATGCATAGATATCCATAATAAATTATTATGGATATCTATGTTTATATGATCCAAATTTATTTTATAATTAAAAAAAAAGAAAATTATTTATTTTTTCACTCGCTAAAAAGGGAAAACTCATTTTCACCTTTTCTTTGCAACCTCATAACATACATGGATATTTTGTATACCTGGTGAAATGCCTTGAATTCAGCCACTAACCTGCCTTGATTTTAACTGGTGAACTTGCATTTACAAAAAAACCCCCATAAAACTGAATTGAAGAAAATTCTTTTTGATACAAGAAAACCAACAGCAGAAATAGATTGTATATACACCACTTTATTTGGCTTAGGGCTCACAGACCAAATTGAAACTGTTCTTGAATACATTGAAAAACTGGGAAAAAAAACTTAAAGAAAGAATATCCCCTTATTCTGCAGATGAACAGAAAGATACAGGGTGTCCTCGACAAACGGGATCGACAAACGGGATGTTTCTGTGTTGTTAAAGACTAAAACTAAATTCCTTCAGCGCCATACAACTGAATAAGTAACAGCAAACGCCCCAGCCTCCAAAAGCACACGGCATCTTCAGTCCATGAGGTCATCCGGCTGGTCGGGCACTGTGTGCCTCAGGTGTTCATATCATCGCCTTTGGTTCAGTCCTGTGAGGTTCTTCAGCTGAAAAACAAACAAAAAAATATTTATTTTAGTACAAATCTTCAAGGTCAGATTATGTATCATTATTAAAAACTGATTAACATACTTTAATGTATCCTAGGCTAAGGCAAACTGTCAAAAATAACAGAATAACTGAAGAATTAAATATAATCCAACACAAAACTTGATCAACCTTATATCAAATAATTAGTGTGGATAAAATATGGTTGAAAATGAAAAATTAAACTAACAAGATCCTTATTCATCATCTCTCTGCTGTATTTCATGTATTTTTACTCTCCATTTGTCTTTTTTTTCTGTCTTTGTTTTCACCCCTTTCTTAATCTCTAGCACTTTACTGTCTAGGCGTTTTAGCCGTTAATCTCATCCCAGAGCTTGGTTGGGAGAGACCGTTTACCCATCTCACCGTAGATTCAAATTGAACCTAATTTTAACACAAATACTTTATCTGCAGTATAACAAAATTTTTAGTAGCTTAAACTCAATGTGTGCATTTAATAAAACTATTTTCAGTTTACTAAACTTATTATAAAAACCATAGTAAATATTTACGAATAAAACCAAAACTATATCCTAAAATACAAGCTAAATCACAAATTCATCATTTTTGGCCTATTTTATATTATAGAAAAAAGCCAAAGTTTGTACTATAACCTTTAGAGATAAATATATAATTCTGAATTGGAAGTAGCAAAGACCTACGGCTGGCTTAACCCTGCAAACTGGACTCTAGCTGCCACTATTATGTTTTAGTGGTTCCTGATTAACTGTTCTAATTCTTCCATCACCTCCTCCCTTCCACTCCTATGACCAGTATCATGACCATGACTGCCACTGGCCTTCTAAGCTACTGATGAAAGCAACAATGACAAATGTGAAAGATTCCTTTTAGTGATTTCTTTCACTACTTCTTTGCTGTGATTCGTACCAGTCCAATCTGGAGCTCGTTTGTACAATCAGAAGACATTCACGTCACTATCGGTCAAAAAAATACATTTTCGTCTCCCTAATTATAAAAGGCGTAACAAAGTACAATTTGTGAAAGGTTAATGATGATTTTTCTGAGAGAATAAATGTGTTTACATCTCTCTGTTTTAGCAGTCATCTGTCCCTGATCTGTCCCAGAAAAGCAATCCTACCCCACCTCCAGCAGCTACTTTTACCAGCTGTGAATCTGTAAAACATTGTAGTTAGTGTTGGGCCGATGCCATTTTTTGGCCCCGATACCTGGCTGTGCAGTATGGGCCGATACTGATACTATCTGTTTAAAACTGATGTGTGTGTGTGTGTATATACATGAAGAACTGCATACTACTGGGATGTAAAATAATTGCCATCATGGCTTTGTCATGTGCTGCCTTCTTTTGTGAAGCAGGAAAAAGACTCATACAAAGTGAATCCAGAATAACTTTTTATTGCCTACCTGGAATGGGGGACAATAGTTGAATAAACTTTTGGATCTCAAAATGGTATTGGCGCCCTATTTGACAGTACTCACAGATATTGATGCCATCATTTGTTCAGTATCAGGGCCCTGTCCAATACTGGTATCGGTATCAGTGCAGCACTAATAGTAGTAATTTGAAGTTTGATGTTTGCATCTCGTGGCACTTTTATAGTATATAGCGCATAATCTTAGAAAAGACACAACTAAAATACAGATAAACATTGTAAATAGAGTTTACCAGACTGCTCTGAGCATGTCTGATGATGATCAGACAATTTAATGGAGAGAATGTAAAACACATCCAATTCTCTCATAAAATAATTCCTCGTTTCTATAGGATGTTGTTTAAGTAAGTAAGTGTTGGAAATGAAAGAAAAAGGGGCTAATTTTCATTTGATTGATTTACTGATTGACTTTATCAACTCATAGTGGAGAAATGTACTTGTTACATCGGCTCAATGGTCAAAAAGAAGAAGTTGCCAAAAGGAGGAAAAGTTGCATAGGGGAATATAGAGATTTAGCATAAGAACATGTTAGCAGCAGGCACAATGGAGAACAAATGTCCCCAATTCACACGTATTGCCATTTATTTGCTGAACCAATGAAAAGACTGGGCTCAGCTCCTGCAGAGCTGAAATAAAGAGCCAATGAAGACCCATGTTTCAGTAGAAGCTGCTACTGCTGCGAGCAAACAAGCTAATAGGTTATAGCATTCTTCTTTATCCCTAATTCAGGGTCTATATATAGAGCTCCTCCTACAGGTTTGGTGGGGGACAGTTCAGTTGATATCAGCGGCTTATAGCCTGTTGCGGCATATGTATGTACATTTCCAGTTTTTTAGTGAGGTGCGCTCTACAGTACGGAAATATGGTACATTATGTATGGAGACCTGGATTAATATCTGGTTGCACATGCGCAAGTAAGCTGATATACCGATCGTACTTCCGATCAAGTAGTGATAAAGTCTGATGGATGTAACCGATGCAATGACAGGTAAGGTTTTTAACTCACCGTAACTGCAGCTCCCATTAGCCCCTGTGCTACGGCTTCACCAGTTGACTGCATCTAAAGAGAAAGAAGAAATTCTAACAATGATTCTTTTTCTTTTTTTTTTCCACTTTCTACTTTCTGTAGATAAACCAGCTGGTTATTACATATTTTATCACATTTGTTTTGTTCCAACTCCTCTGCACCTGCTTTGCTGTGGTGGCCATGTTGACTACATCCTGAATGCGGTTATCAAGGAAGGTCCAGGTGTCCTGGAAGTCCGGAGAGGAATCCTGCAGCATCACCAGCTCTGTCGTGTTGTAGAGACCAGTCAGCACCGCCCGCTTTGTGTACCAGTTCATCTTCAAATAACAACCGACAGACACAGAGTTAGCTTTTATATTTTGTTGAAGACAAAGGGCACTTTACTGTCACATATTAATCTAAAATGCATTGTTTATCAAGAAAATACATGCAATGGAATAAAAAATAATGTGCAGGAGAGCAAGTTTGACAAATTAAAAGGGAAAAAAGGAGCAAATAGATATGAAAGGTGATGGGTGGGATAACCTGAGAGGTAGCAGGCCGGATATGGTGAGGATGGTGATGAAAAGGGGACAGGAAGGTATGAGCAGCAGTAAAGGGGGATCGAGGGTGAGAAGATCCACTCACGTCTGTTGATCGGTCCCCGGCGTAGTACCAGATGTCGTCCACCATGGTGGAGAGATGCTTCAGGCTGTCGGGGATGTTGTGAGGAAGGAGCAGGATGCTCATGGCCTGAGTTCACAACAGAAGGAGATGTAGAGTTTGCCGTTTCTGCAGTGACTCCAGAGTCAGTTTTCTGTTTACCTGTGGCCAGGTTTCGATGTAGGGGATGTACATCCGCAGCCTGGTCTCTACTGCATCTCTTAGGAAGTCAGCAGTCTTCTTTCGTCTGCAATGCACAAAGAGTTCAGCTCTGTTAGTTTATTTAAAGGCACTTAGAAATATTTATTCAAATACATTTTCTCCCAATCAAATCGCAAACCTAATTTTTTCAGCGCTCCAAATCTAGAAACGGAAATATTTGCCCTCTTTTTACAAAACAGCACAGGATGATCGGTGTCTAAAGATTAATTTAAGTCTTAACAAGAGTTATAAACTAGATTTAAGGGCCCTGGCTCTGATAGGGTCCCTCCTTCATAGCTCTGTCTGTATGCTTGTGATCATCTTGCTGGAGGTGAACCTCTACTCAAACAGTCTGCTACAGCCTATAAAAGGTTTTCAGCTGCATTGATCTTCCCATCAAACCTGACTAATCGTCACATGATGCTGTCGCCATTATATTTTGCAGTGTGGATCAAAGTAATTTAAAAAAAACAGAAATACAGTGCCCTTTCTGCCAACCTCTCCTGAACCTTCTTCCACGTGTGCTGTTTCCCTCTAAGATTAGAGAGTAGCCCCTGATTTTCTCTTTTAAGAGCATACTCTTCTTACTCCTGCCCTCTGGGAGGCGATACAGAAGCCTACGGACTAGAATCACCAGGCACCTGAACAGCTTCTTCCCCACAGCTGTCACACTCCTGAAACCAAATATAGGGACTGTATAACTTTCCTG